AATCTCAATGCGATATCATCTCAAGAACAACCAAAAACCATCTGAATTTCAAGAAATCAACATAAAACAGCATTAACACTAATCTTAACTTCACGAACATGATCTAACCAAAGTCGAACCTCAAATTCGTCTCCAAAATCATAAAAACTACCAAAAGAAAGGAAACTGAGAACAATCCTTCATCGAAATTCAACAAAAGAAACCAAAAACGGAAGGATTCGACCGGAATGCTTCAAAAATCAAAACAGAAACCAAATGATTACCTGCGATTCGGAAGCTGTAAACTCGATCAACCACACTCCGATGAACGGAGAGGAACGCAAAGAGAGATGGCCAGATAGTTGGTGTTTATGGGAAGAGAGAAATGAAATTAAGATGAAGTAAGTGCTGTTTGGACCGGAAATAATAGCACTGTCTCCGGTATTTGTTTTTTTTTTTTTTGGTCCGCAGGATATGGAATCTCTGCATTTTTCTTGGAAAAGTCCCTTTCAATTTGCAATTTATTACCAACTTGCCACTGATATTTTTCCGATACTCAATTTGTCGTGGCGTTGTCAAAATATCACGATTTATTCCCTCCTGAAAAATCATTGCCGACTCATTCTTCCCGCTCTTGGTTCCCGCTCTTTATTTTAATTTTATTATATATATATATACACATAATTAAGGGTTCGTACTTATTTTAAAAAAATTAAGAAAAAAAATAACAAAAAATATTTTAATTTATATTTTACAAATAAGATATTGTAATTTTTTTCAATATGTATTTATTAAAATGATGTAATTTTGAAATAATATTTTTCATAATATTTAGAAAATAAGATGGATAAGCATTATTTTTTATATTTAATTAGTTAATTAATTAAATTAAAATTAAAATTTATATTTTTTATATAAATTAATTTAAAAAATATTTCATTTGTCCTATGGTAATTGTGACCTTTTTTTGGTAAATTAAAATTTTGAGAATAATTTATGAATTTATTTATATTATTTTAAGAAAATTTTAAAAATTAAATAAGATTTTTTATAATAAAATAATTAATCAAAATAAATAAATAATGATAAAATTAGGTTAAAAAATTTATTTACCTTAAAAATAATTAATTTATAATAAATTTAAAACTAAATAATAACAATTATTTTAAAATAAAAAATATAATTATTATACCTTTAACATACCTAACATATAATAAAAAAAGTATAATTTATTATTGTAATAAGATTTGAATTTATCTGCAATTTCCGAGAAAATGCACTTTTTTTTAATGAAGACTTTTTTTTTTTTTACCTAATGCACAGGTTTTTTTTATAGGTCATTGGGAGGTACTCTGCTTGAATTTTCCATGTTTGATTTTTGGTTATAGAAAGAAAAATAAAGTGTTTTGATCCCACTTATTTTATTCTCATTTACTTATTATACAATCTAAATTTAAAATCTATCATTTTTATTAAAATAATTACTATTAAGTCGACTAAATAGTTAAATTTCTCATATTGCATGAATGATTTGCCTATATTTGGACAAATGGCAAAATCAAGAATAAATTTACAGCAGGGCTTTTTCAAACCTTGTTGACCACTTTATCTCCTAGCAAGCAAGTAAAGAAATTCAATGCATGATAGGTAACTTTTTTTTTTTCCCGATAAAACTTTGAATTAGGATAATGTTATTATCATATTCTCGATTACTCATGCTACATTTCTTATCTTAATTCACCATTTTATTCTTTAATTTATTAAAAAGATAAAAAAAAATGTAAAATTTTGAAAAAAAAATATAATGTAAAATTATAATAAAAAACAAAAAAAATACATTTTAGTTTCAACTCCAAAATAAATTAAAATTTCAACATTAAATTACATCATTTTATTCAACTAAAACTTTATTTAACATTTAAAAATCTATATTATTAAATGTTAATATTTAGATTTGAAAATTGATTTTATTAAAACATATAATTAGTTGCTAAATCTTGATATTAAGTTTTAATAAGTTGGATTTCTAAATTTTAAATTGAGAATTTAGTTTACAAATATAGATTAAGACTTTAACTTTTTTAGAATTGAAACTAATATACAATAATTTTATAAAAAATTATATTAAAATAATATACATTAACTATTTATAATGTGAGGATAAACCACTCCTAAAATTGAGCCTCTTTATTTTCTACTCCAAGTTTTTTGAGGACCATGATAGGGCTCACCCCAACCGTAACCCATGTGATACTGATTCACCACTTATTTGGGATATTGGTTATGCTAAAAAAATATCTTTCTAGTAAATATGAGACTTAAATTCTTTTGAATGAGAATTTGGAAAGTTGGTGAGTAAAAGAAGATGGTATTAAATTACTAATTATGTATATTATTATTATTTGTTTTTTATGGTATGTATATCACTATAGGAGTTACAGTTCTCTTTAAGTTACATTGAAAAATTTCACAAAACAATAATGAGTACATTTTCAATTTCCTTAAAAAATTGAATAAACTGAAAAATAAAAAAGATGGTGCTAGGGAAATTTTTTTATTTCACATTTTTATACAACTTTCACATGTCATTAAATAAATTGATACATTTAATATTACGGATCCCACATGAATTAAAAGAACCAATCATTTTATTAATATTTCAAGTTATACAAAAAAATAAGATAAAAAAATTATAAAAAAGGCGAGATAAAAAGTTGTACAAAAATCATTTCCCAAATAAAAAAAGAAAAAAGAAAAAAAGGTGTATGACAGAGTTCAAGTTCTGTTTATAACGTTTGCAATTGAGATTAATTCCTTAAGACCATTGTAGCGGCAGCGATGGTAATCAATCAAGAGGCAGAGCTGCCTTATGGCCTCCCTCTTTTCCTCTCCAAGACCTGACAATTTGTCATCCTTATCTTTGATCCTCTTCTCGAGTTGGTTCACTTCTTCTATCAGATTCAACTTTTCTCCTACTTCCTTGCGCAGCAATGCTTCCAAGTTCCAAACCTTCTCCCTTAACAATAATTCTTGCTCTTCCTTGTCATCAAGTTGTGCAACCACAGAATTCATGTTACTCTCTAACTGTTTTATCTCATTATTCTTCCCTGAGGCCCAGTTCTTTGCAAGCACAAGTCCATTTTTCACATTTGATATGCGAGTAAGGAAATTCCCATTGTCCTCTAGCTTTCTGATTGCCAAGTCCAATCCGACCAGTGCATTGATCCCTGGCTCTAGTGTAACCCTCAACTTCTTGGATTCAGCTTCATAACTTGCAAGCCTTTCTTTAAGCACTGTATTTTCTTGCTCAAACGTTTCTTTTGTCTTCCTATTGTTCTCTTCGTTTTCGTAATGTGTTTTTCCTGCTACTTTGATCCCTGGCTCTAGTGTAGCCCTCAACTTCTTGGATTCGGCTTCATAAATTGCAAGCCTTTCTTTAAGTGCTTCATTTTCTTGCTCAAACTTTTCTGTTGTCTTCCTAAAGTTCTCTTTGTTTTCATAATGCATTTTTTCTGCTACTCTGATCCTCTGGTGCAACAAGCGGATATTATCTTCCAGTTTCTTTCGGAACTCTTCTGCCAAAACTTCCATCTTCCTTTCTAGGACATGGTGATTTACTTTGGAATTGGAGGTCCCTGTTGACCATGACCATCGTTTGACCTGTTTAGAATCCTCCAAGAATTTATTGATGGTCTTTTCCTGTTCATTCAAGATTCTCTGCTGCTCAGCAATCTTGCTAGTCAACGTCATGTTTTGATCTTCCATCTGAGACAGTCTTTGTGAATGTTCTTGTCTTTCTCCCTCTAGATGCAACTCCAACTGATGATTCCGGGTCTTCAAGGAATCCAACTCCTGCTGTAGATAGTCAGCATGTGCTTTTAAGGTCACAATCTGAACAGAGGCTTCGTCCCCAGCTTGACAATTCTTTTGATTGGAAGGTTGATTCCCTTCTTCTTGAGATAATCCCTCCAATTCTAGAATCTTATCCTGCAGATCTTCCTTGTCATCTTTCAGTTGACTGGTTTCACATATTTTACTTCTCATCTGTTCTTCCACATCATTTTTCTGCTTGCAAAAAGTCTCCACTTCCAGTTCAAGGTCCATTACCTGCACCAACAAGCCTTCTTTCTCCAACATTTTCTGCTCGAGTGTCGTCTTTCTTGCTAAGTCCTCTTTTAGAGTTTTAATCTGAAACAGGTATTGGGACATTTCTTTGGTTCTCTTCTCCAACAGAACTTCTAATTCTGCTTGTTTGTTATGCATGGACTCTAAATATTGCTTTAATGTTTCATCTCCTCTGCATATCAGAGTTTCTTCAAACATACTTTTCTCAGCACGTAAAGAATCTACCTCTGATTGCAGAATGCTGACCTGTTCCATCAACTCAACAACTTTGAATGACAAATTATCCTTATTGTCTCCAGGTTCATTCAGGAGATCAGTACATCCATCTCCCCTTTTTGCCATCAGTTGAAGTTCCAGAACCTGGGCCTCCATCACTTTATTTTTTTCACCTAGCTGTTTAGCTTCAGCTGCTTTGAAAACAAGCTGTGCTTCCAGATCTCTTTTCTGGCAGTACAATGATTCCAGCTCATTTTTCAAGCTAGTTAACTGGTCCTCTAAATCTGTTCTTTGTCCTGATTCTTGATTCTCCGGAACCTCACTTGTCTTAACAAGGGATGCAAGTTCTTTTGCTTGTTCATCCACTTCATTCCTCAATTTTTTGTTTGTGGTTTCTGCATCGTGTATTTTACTTAGTGCTGCTTTCAGACGCTCACTTTTCAAGCAGCTTCTATTATTTTCAGTGTCCTCTGAGGAATAATATTCTGACTCTGAGCTGGAGGTTGACGTAGAAAACCTCTCCTTCCCTTTCCTGCCACGAGCTTTCTTCTCTGATTCTGCTTTAAGGTTACCATATAGTGCAAAGAGTGACTGGTATTGTTTGTGAAAATCCTCAACAAGTCGAACAAGTTCTGTTTCTTTCTTCAGCTCTCTTGGGAAACCATCTTTCTTGAACTTGTCCTTATTCTTGATAAGCTTTAAGATCTTTGCCACTTTTTTTTCAACATCTGCAAACAATGGAGAATTTCTGAATATGAAACTTCAACATCAAATGAAGCAGTAATATAAGAACAGGCCTCTCAAAATCACCAGGTAAAAAGACTAGGGAGACTCTAGCATGGAATAAATGCAGTCAAAAGAACAGATCATGTTACTACATGTCAATGGGAACGCACTATTATTTTCGAGGAGCAGAGTTGTAGAGATCAAAACAGTCAGGCAACCAAAGAAAGCAAACGAAAAAGACCAATTAAGCAGAAAGCAAATTTTTGCTTTTGGAGGAAAATGTCTTGATGATAACGCAATATGATGATGTAATTCTGTGAGAAGTGAATTTTTCATGCATTAAATAGCAATACCAGTTATCATTTTTCTCTAGACATAAAAATTGACATGAACACAGAGAGACACCCATGAAACTTTAGATTAATTGGCCAAATTAAACCCACATCAAAAAACTAATTTTTTAAATGCAACAAAATGGAAGGCTGATAAAACTGACCTACATTATGCTGCAGAACTTTGTGTTCAAGTTATAGTGGAAAAGAAGAAGTATCATTAGACTAGGGGTTAGAATCTCGTGGTTCACCTATACCAGAGGAGGGCAGATAGGCAGCTGAAAGGGGAGACATTTTTCTAAGGTGCAGGTTTTATTTTACAACAAACTCAAATTTTCATCACTGTGCCAAGGCTAGGTGTGGATCATTCAAGTAAATGCTTTTTCAAATCCACTATTTTCTCTCAAGGCCATCAACGCAGAATTCAGACATTAGGAAAGGAAATAGAAATGCACCTGCTATATTCCCTTCCAATTCCATCTGTTCAATCTTTTTGAATATCAAATTTCCTCATATGACTTCATCAGCTACAAATGCTTCATCATCCATGTTAAAACAATCTTCGGAGAGCTTCATCACCTAATCTCCCATCAAGACAAAGCCTTTTCCGTCAAGAACATAAGAA